AAATTTTTTTTTAGGTTCCAATAAGTCATTTCCGTTAAATTTAACGAATTCCGTCACCTTTACAATTCAGTTCAAAGCATGAGGTGTCGTGTTGTATATTTTGAAATCATAAGAGGTTTTTTTGTGTATTAGGCTTATCACAGGGGGTTTTTTTGTTTTTTACCCTTAATTATATTGAAGTACAGAATTGGTTAAAGATCAAGAGGTGATAATTATATTGAAGTGCATACTTACTTGAAGATCGTGAGGTGTTTTAGATAAAAAAAAAAAATAGAAGACTTAACACTTTTTCCCCTCAACAATTTTTTTTTCCGTTAGTTTATCTCCTTTAATTTCTCTTTCATAACATGTCTTAAAATACCCACTCTAGTTTTTCTTGTACTAAAATACCATTATCAACTGTAATGTATTTAGCGTATCCATCCTTAAATAATTGACAACTTAAAAAAAGAATTTCGATGTTTATAATTCTATTTATACATGATTGACATGAAATATTAGTCAAAAGCCAACACTTAAAGCAATGATCTAATCATCCAAGTATGCATTGATCCTTTCCCAAGTTCGTTTAACTTATCTCAAATATCCACCATTCCTAAAACTCCAACGTTTTTTTCCAAGGCAACTCTAATTTTTTTTCTTTACAATTGCTTTGTATTTTATATCATAATTATTAATTTTTTAGACACTTATACTTATTTTAGGTTTGTGATTTAGAAATTTTTTGACAATTATTAATTTATCAATTGTTCTTATTCTAAATTTATGTCTTAGAAGTTTTATGTTAATTTGTAAAGGGTTAATTTTTTTTATTGGATTTAGTTAATATTTATCTGGTTTGTGAGTTAATTTTCATATTTTGCTTTGGACTTTATCTTTTATTATTAAAAATATTTTGTTGTTAGTTATCGTCTATTAAACTTTGGTTTTAAATTTTTGATTTCAAGTTAATGTGCATTATTTGTTTTGATTTTTTTTTGGTCACTTGTTGTTTGATCTTTCGCCCCCCTCTTCTCCAAACCAAAATCCTACATTCATCATTGGTTATCTTTAGTGAGCTATAAAAAAATTTATTATTGCAGGGTTTGTGACAAAATAACAGAAGGAATGTCCTAGAAAGAGCTGGAAAATCAGAGAAGGAGCTGTCCTAAAAGCATGATTTGGAATGTGTATAGTGATGAATTCTTTAATGTAAATGTTGCCGAACTCATGAAGTTGAATTGGTTCTTTGTTTTTGGTGGATTGATTATTTAAAGTTTTGCCACTATTGTTGATTCTTTTTCTGGCTTAACACAAATCTTCGGTAATCAGCGTAGAACGAACGTTGTTTTATAACTCTTTGTATTTGGAAACTGCTGACATGTTCGCTTTTGGCTGAGCTGTAGTAGAAAGAATCTCCCTGAATGATGTGTACTTTATCTTAAGGGTAATTTACCAAATTGGTCCCTAACATTTACCAAAAACACTTTTTTAGTCCTTAACATATAAAATCAGCCAAAATGATCCTTCACATTTAAATTATGAGCCAATTTGGTCCTATTGCTCGTTTTTGCTCATTTCTCCGGCTAAAAATAGCACGCCCCCCTCACGTGGTCATATTTTTAAGGGCAAAATCGAAAAACACATTTCATTACCGGTTGAAGGTAAAAGGATAGGGGACCACCACCAAAATACACATTTCACCTTTGGCCCTCAAATTACAATTTGAAGAAACCCTAATTGAATCCCCAAATTAACAAGCATAACTTGGAAATGTACTGCCGATGATGATGACGACAAATCTGTAGGGTGTGATTGAGAAAAGATTGAAGGTTTGGCCAGAAAATCGTGAAGAAAATTAAGAGGGCATGTACACACACACACACACACACACACACAAACAAGATGCAATGACGATTCTGACCTTTCACAAAAAGCGGTAGCTGGAATCCATCGCCGTTCGGAAACCATCCCTGTGGAAGTAGAAAATCAGCTCCAGTCGCCAGCCTAGTAGAAGGGGGGTTGCAGAATCTGGAACAGGACTGGACATAAATCGTGACGGTGCTTGTTTTGTGAGGTAGGCGGCATGGAGTGGGAGGCAGAGCAGAAAGAATTGAAAGAAGCCGGAGCGGAGTTGCTGCCGGACGAGCGGGTTGGACTTCGGATACATGGATGGGAGATCGAGTCTTCCAAAGCTTCCATCCTCAAATCCCTCCGGCGCCAAGAGTAACTACCTCTCTCTATCTCTTCTTCCCCTTCCCCCAACCAACAAAAAATCAGATGCCTCACCCTTACCCCCCCTCCCCAAGTATTACAACTATTTTGTAAGTATCTGATTGCAGGTTTCCAAGAAGTCACAATGATGGGTTCCTTTCCACAAAGACATCACTCGTTTGGATCCATTTTACTCTTCAAAGGTCAGCTTCTTCTTTCCAATTTCTTGCTACTGTATTTTCCCTCTTCAATTTCATGGGTTAGTGAGGTGACTAGATGAAGGAAAGATGGCTTCTTTCGACCGGTAATGAAATGTGTTTTCCGATTTTGCCCTTAAAAATATGACCACGTGAGGGGGGCGTGCTATTTTTAGCCGGAGAAATGAGCAAAAATGAGCAATAGGACCAAATTGGCTCATAATTTAAATGTGAAGGATCCTTTTGGCTGATTTTATATGTTAAGGACTAAAAAAGTGTTTTTGGTAAATATTATGGACCAATTTGGCAAATTTTCCTTATCTTAATTGGTTACAGCAACCGAAGTTTATTCTGAAGTTATCACTGTTTCATGATAGGATGAGTGGACAAGGAGAACTAATTCTGGCTTCTGAATGAACCTAAAACGAGCACCGTGAACTAAATGCTGTTGGATTAGGGGTGCAAACGAGTTAAGTCGAGTCGAGTCAAGTTTTGGTCTAATTGAGTCGGGTCTCAACTTAGTGTTATAAAACTTGAACTCGACAAACTTAAAATGTAAAGTTTGTGCTCGAGTTTAAAAAACATATATATATATATATATATATATATATATATATATATATATATATATAATTATTTTATTTTTAAAAAATAAATAAAATAATAATTTTTAACAAATAATAAAATATTAGAAACATATATGTAATGTTATTATTAATCTATATATATGTATATAGATGTATGTGTGTAATCAAACTGACTCGTGAATTAACGAGCTGAATATGTGAGAATTCAAATTCGACTTGATCAGCTTGAATTTGATTAGAGTTGCTCACGAGGTTGGGGGGTGTTGGCATCCGCATCACTTGTAAAGTTTCGTATTCGACCTCGCGTACATCATTCACGTTTGTACGTCTTTGGTTGTGGACTAAAATGTTCAATATATTACTCTCATTATGAACTCGATCATGTGCATTGAAGTTCAATACTGAGTATATTTATCGTTGTAGAATATATGATTGTTGGTTTGAACAATTCTTAGTTTATCACCAAGGCTGTGAAATCACTGTTGAAAGGTTACGACTGGTGACTCGTAATCAGATGGTACTTTGTTAACTACGCAGTGCTTAATCAGTGGCTGCAGCATAGTAGCATATTTTTGTTCCTTTCTCCACCATACCAAATCAACGCCAAATGTCTAAATGGTGTTGTGGGTACATTGGTGAGACAATTTACTAAAAGATTGAACCAAGGCATTGAAAAGCTTTATCGGTTTAAGCAGGATGATGTTTCTTTTTTGTTTGTACTGACCCCTTCCTTCTGTTTAGTTTACAATATTACATGGATCTAATTGGGCTGCTGCTTCTGATATGATCCCAAAAGTACATACTTTCTAGGGTGGCAGATGAATATTTCTCGAGTTGGAGTTGAAGCTTATCACTCAATGTGTAGCTACTCTGCTTATGATCCTTCATTCCTATCTCTCTCTGTTTCTTTCTTTTGAAGCGGTACCTCCAACGGACTAACAAATGAGGTGAATTCCCATTTAGTCTTTTTCCAATTTGATTGTGGTCATAGTTTATTGTCCCTCTTTTCCAACAATTCATTCAGATATATTCCGATGAAAGGGTTCCAGCATTCAATCAGTAAAGATGAAGGCCCCATCAACAACACTGATTAAGAAAATTCAGGCGAAAATGCAAAGCAACTTTGATGGCAAAAGCAAATCACCTGCGCTTCTGAACACGGATTGAGGGCTTTTATAGTCCATCACACGATTCTTGTTATTTTTTGTTAATATTAGAAGTAAACATGCATCTACGTGAACTATCTCACTGATTATGCTGATTGAACACCTTCAATGCAACAAATGTACAATTTAAGCACGACTTTGTGCTGTCATCAATATGTAAATAAAGGTCACATTGTGGTTAATATTTTCCTTAATTTGTCTCATGCAACTATGCCTAATAAAATTCACTTTGGAAAAGCATTAATGAGAAAAAGGGAAAGACCCCAGCAGCAAGCCAAGCACCTTTATTCCTTTGGAACCTAAAGCATCCAACTATGCCAACGAAGCACTGCTCTACACGAATTGACGGCTCATTATTTCTTGTAACCCATAAATATCTCACTGGTTAGTGTGAATACAGCAAATTACATTTGTATGTACAAAATAAGCATGAATTTGTGCTGTAATCAATATGCAAATGAGAGTCACATTATGGTTAATTAATCTTGGCCATAAATTATCTCGAGCCACAAAAGTTACCCCTTATCAAATTTCATAAGTGAAACAGTTTGACAAAAACAAGGGATATGTAACTGTGGATGTCCTTTTGATGTGAAGATTGAAGCAAATGCATCTTTCAAGTTACTAATCCCCAGACTTCATTGATAAAAAAGAAAAAAATTTTAAGAAGGAAAGAAAATTGGATTGTAGGTCTTAAATGCGACTTCAATTCCCCATGAAAGTGGATACAGAATCCTTGGTTTTATAAAGTTTAAAAGGAGCAAGTCTGAAGATTTTACAATAGAAGCAAATATCTGATGATTATTTCTTTCAGAAAATACACGTTCAAGTAATTTGAGATCACAAGTTTGGTTATTGAGACACAAAGCTATAAACCATCCACTTATGTCTTTATTCTTAACCAGCCAAGAAGCAAAGTAGCTCGTCCAAAAAGAAGATTCCCTGTTTGTTTGTAACACAGGTTTCTTTACCTAATAGGATTATTACTACAGTTTAGTTTAATTTTCAATGCTTGAGGCTCGCACTATAGAATTAGCAGTAGCTCTAGAAGTCTTACCTTAGAAGCACTTCAAATTCTTTTCTTCTCCAAACATTTCTGCTTTTAGCTGCTGAAGCTGAAGAATTCCTTCTTATCTCATTCCAAAATCCATCCTGATCACCACCTTAATTGATTCTTTTCTTCTAATTTCAATTCCAAGCAAGAAAAAAAATGGCCGATGCAGCTATTAGCGCTACTATTCAGGTTGCATTGGAGACGGTTATTTCCCTTGCCGCTGATCGTGTTAGTTTGGTTCTTGGATTCGGAGAGGAGTTGGAGAGACTACGCCACACTGCAGAAACCATCCGAGGTATCCTGGCTGATGCGGACAGGAAAATGCATATTGCCGGGGTGAAAAATTGGCTCGAGCAGCTTGAAGGAGAGCTTTTTAAAGCGGAGGATGTGCTGGACGAGCTCAACTATGAAAATCTTCGTCGGGAGGTGAAGTACAGAAATCAACTCAAGAAAAAGGTATGCTTCTTCTTCTCGTACTTTAATACAATTGGTTCTCGTTCAAGGTTGGCTTCAAAGATCAGGGACATCAACATGAACCTAGAAAGGATCAATCGGCAAGCAAATGATGTGGGACTGGTCTTCCGGTTCCAAATTGAAGCCGCACTCCCTGCTGCTACTGGTGCCACAACAAGCAGACAAACCGACTCTATTCTCGTTCCAAATGTTGTAGGAAGAGTCGACGATGAATCAAAGATTGTGGACATGTTATTGAGGCCATCTGAAAAGGTTCTTTCTGTTATTCCCATAACAGGCTCAGGAGGTTTGGGAAAAACAACTCTGGCGAAATCAATCTACAATAATCCAAAAATAGATGGGCACTTTGGCCAAAAAATTTGGGTTTGTGTGGCTAAAGAACAAATTAAGATAATGGAGCTGTTCAAGCTCATTTTAGTACAATTGACAGGAGAAGAAGTTAAAGTGGATGACAGGAATGTTATCGTTAAAAATATTGGAGAAAAGCTCAAGGGACAAAGATATTTCCTTGTTCTTGATGATGTGTGTGTTGCGGAAGCCCTACCAAAGTTAAGGTATAACGAGTAAATTATTGTACCTAAAATTGCAAAAATGGTAATTCCCAGGAAATATTTGGTGAGGCACACTGGCCTGCTTAAGTACCAATTTCCTAGACAGAATCACCTATATATGCACTTAATTGCACAATAACTCACTACAAATATACCTACAAATATAGCTACTAAATAGACAATAAAATAGAACACCAGAATTTAACGAGGTTCGGCTAATTTGCCTACGTCCTCGGACACTACCGACAATTTAATATTTCACTAGAAGAAATATTACAAAGAGAGAGAAGAAAGCAAGTTATTGGCTCTTGCTTGGTGTGTCTAATCCTATCAAATGATGCTCCTATTTATAGTTTACAAATGATAGGATTCCTAACAAAACTACCGATGTGGGATTTAGAAACTTAGGCCAAAGATTTCAAAGTCCTCAATTTTGGCTTGAAAAAGTCATCAATTGAGGCTTGGCTTTGAATTCAACAAATCTCCACCTTGGCATAATTTCTAATCCCACCAAAAATACAAATTTTTTTCCCTCAAATTCGGTGGTGTCTTCAAATGCGTTGTCAAGCGCCAATCTTCAAGTTGTGCACAACATTTATCAAATTCAAACAATGTTGGAATTTGATAGTTGTCACAACCTTCGTAAGCATATCAGCAGGATTCTCCTTGGTCTGAATCTTTTGAAGTAGTATCGTACTATCTTCCAAAATCTTCCTCACAAAATGATACCGTACGTCGATATGCTTCGTCCTTGCATGATAAACTTGGTTCTTTGCTAAATGAATAGCACTCTGACTATCACAATGAACTTTGATAGACTTCTGTCCAATTCCCAATTCATCAAGCAATCCATGAAGCCAAATTGCTTCCTTAACAGCTTCCGTAACTGCCATATACTCCGCCTCTGTAGTAGACAAAGCAACTGTTGACTGTAAGGTAGACCTCCAACTGACTGGTGCCTTAGCAAGTGTAAAAACATACCCAGTCGTTGATCGACGTGTATCTTGATCTCCTGCGTAGTCGGAATCACAATATCCAACTACGCCTTGACCAATCTTCTCATCCCGCTCAAATACTAATCCAACATCTACGGTGTTCAAAATATACCGTAAAATCCATTTCACAGCTTGCCAATGCTCCTTGCCAGGATCATGCATGTACCTGCTCACAACTCCAACTGCTTGTGAAATGTCGGGCCTTGTACACACCATAGCATACATCAAGCTACCCACCGCATTTGCATACGGTACCTTTGCCATATATTCTCGTTCTGCATCATTCTTTGGAGATAACGATGCACTAAACTTGAAATGAGGAGCAAGTGGAGTACTAACAGGTTTAGTCTTTTCATTCATACCAAACCTCTTTAATACTTTACTAAGATACTCTTTCTGTGTCAAATAAAGCCTCCCCAATCTTCTATCTCTACTTATCTCCATGCCGAGAATTTTCTTGGCTTCGCCGAGATCCTTCATTTCAAACTCCCGACTCAAATGAGATTTCAATTTTTCAATCTCACCTTGATCCTTGGAAGCTATCAACATATCATCAACATAAAGAAGAAGATATATGTAGGATCCATCTCGTAGCTTGCGCAAATATACACAATCATCATATTTGCTTCTTGTGTACCTTTGCCCCATCATAAACTTGTCAAATCGCTTATACCACTGTCTTGGAGACTGCTTCAATCCATACAACGATTTGTCAAGCTTGCATGCCATCTTTTCTTTACCAGCAACTTTGAATCCTTCTGGCTGAGTCATGTAGATTTCCTCTTCCAAGTCACCATGTAAAAACGCAGTTTTTACATCTAATTGGACAAGTTCCAGATCCAATTGTGCTACCAAAGCCAATAAAATTCTGATGGAGGAATGTTTCACGACTGGAGAAAACACTTCGTTGTAATCAATTCCCTCCTTCTGAGCGTAGCCTTTAGCCACCAATCTTGCTTTGTAGCGAACACCAGACTTGTCAGGAAATCCTTCCTTCTTTGCATATACCCACTTGCATCCGATTGCCTTCTTTCCCTTTGGAAGACTGGTTAGCCTCCATGTTTGATTCTTATGAAGGGAATGTACTTCTTCATCCATTGCAATCCTCCACTTTTCTTTATCCGAACTTTGAGCTGCTTCATTGAAAGTGGCAGGAATATCAACATTTATGGTTGGGGATGCATAGGCCACTATATCAGCAAAACGAGCAGGTTTTCTGATTGTCCTCTTTGGCCTACTGGTTGCAATTGATTCATGTTGCTGTGAAAGTTCTTCAACTGGAACATTTTCTTCAGTTGATTCTTCTTCTACCATAGGAGTCCTTTCATCTACTCCGATATCCACTGCTGGTCTGATAATGCTTCTTTCAAACTCCATCTGCTTAGGAGTGCTCTCCACCTGTTGGGGAGTACTATCATTCTGCTGTACATCTACCTTTGTTAACATGGTAGATTCATCAAAGGTGACATCCCTGCTGAAAACTATCTTTTTCGTTTCGGGACACCAAAGGCGATAACCTTTAATGCCTGTTGTGATCCCCATAAAGAGCGCCTTCTTCGCCCTTGGATCCAACTTTGATTCTTTAACATGATAATATGCAGTAGAACCAAACACATGCAAGGAATCATAATCTGTAGCAGGTTTTCCCGACCATTTCTCTAATGGCGTTTTGCCGCCAATAGCAGTTGATGGTAAGCGATTAACGAGGTGATTTGCATATGCTAAAGCCTCAGCCCAAAATTGTCAGCCCAACTCAGCATTGGACAACATACACCGAACTTTCTCCACCAATGTCCGGTTCATACGCTCTGCCACCCCGTTTTGCTGTGGTGTATCTCTGACTGTGAAGTGCCGAACAATGCCTTCATTTTCACAGACCTCCATGAACGGATCACTAGTGTATTCACCTCCGTTGTCTGTTCGAAGGCGTTTGATCTTTCTTTCTGTTTGAGTTTCCACCATCTTTTTCCACTTGATGAAAATTCCCAATACTTCACTTTTCGCCTTCATAGTATACACCCATACTCTTCGAGAGAAGTCATCGACAAAGGTAACAAAATAATTCTTGCCTCCCAAAGAAGTTGTTTTGGAAGGTCCCCACACATCAGAGTGCACATAATCCAAAATACCCTTGGTATCGTGAATTGCAGTGCCAAATTTTACCCTTGTCTGCTTTCCTTTGACACAATGCTCGCAAAAATCTAACTTGCAAACACTGGCTCCTTTTAATAGTCCTTGATTCATCAGAAGATTCAAAGATTTTTCTCCGGCATGCCCTAAGCGCATATGCCATAATCTGGTTACTTTCAATTCTCGATCATCACTGGAAGCCACGGCCGCTACTCCAACAATTGCATTACCTTGATAGTAATACAAGTTATTATTTTTTCGGATTCCTTTCACCAGCACCAATGCACCTGAAATGATTTTCATCACTCCATTATATGCCGACACCTTGTAGCCCATTGATTCTAGTACTCCCACAGAAATGAGGTTCTTTTTCAATTCTGGCACATATCGGACATCAGTTAGAATCTTAATTGATCCATCCTGATTCCTTAGCCGAATTGAACCAACCCCATTTGTTGCTAATGTGGTCTCATCTACCGTGTAGACCACTCCACCTTCTTTTTCCTTGAAATCAAAGAACCATTCTCTATTGGACGTCATATGATGGCTACAACCTGAGTCCAATAGCCATGTACTAGAATGACCAGTAGGCATGACAGCTAATGAAAAATCTGAGTTTTGATCAATGCACTCAGATATATTTGAATCCGCAACAGCTTTTTCTTTGTCAGGTCTACCCTTCAGTTTTGGGCAGTCCTTCTTCCAGTGCCCTTTCTCTCTGCAAAAGGCACACTCATCTTTACTTAGTCTGGCTCTTGACTTGGATCTTCTTCTCGTCCCCTTTCTCTGGTTTTGTGAGCGTCCTCTAGTTACCAGAGCTTCTGCTGCTCCATCTCTGCTATTTTGCTTGTCTTTTCTTCTGAGCTCATAGCTGTACAGGGCAGAGCTAACTTCACTGAGGGACACCTCAGCTTTCCCATGGAGTAGAGTTGTTTCAAGATGCTCAAACTCCTCAGGAAGAGATCCCAACAACATGAGAGCCAAATCTTCGTCTTCAAATGTCACATCTAAATTCATCAGATCAGTGATTAACTGATTGAAATTAGTGATGTGATCACTTAGAGTTGTGCCAGGAACATAAGTGAAGCGAAATAAACGCTTCTTCATGTTGAGCCTGTTCTGACAATTTTTCTTCAAGAACTTCTCCTCCAATCCAGTCCATAATTTATTTGCAGAGGTTTCTTTTGAGAACACATATTTTTGTTCCCTTGAAAGACACGATCGAATTGTACCACACGCTAAACGATTTAGCGTCCTCCATTCCTTCTCTTCAATCTCTTCTGGTTTCTCTTTTTCGATGGCAATGTCTAGACCTTGATTAAAGAGCGCGTCTAGAATCTCACTTTGCCACATGCCGAAATGACCGGTACCATCAAATGTCTCCACATTTAATTTTGTATTCGTCATAACATTTCTCGCCATAATAGATAATGACGAGCTTGTTGATGCTTGCATTGTAGATGAAGATCTACTTTCGGCCATCTCTACAAATTATATTTAGTAGCTCCTAAATGTAGAGTAACAATAGCCCAAGAAATCTTTTCTGATGTGGAAGATCAGACCATGCTGCAACCACAGAGCATACTAAGAAACCTCGAGCTCTGATACCAATTGTTGCGGAAGCCCTACCAAAGTTAAGGTATAACGAGTAAATTATTGTACCTAAAATTGCAAAAATGGTAATTCCCAGGAAATATTTGGTGAGGCACACTGGCCTGCTTAAGTACCAATTTCCTAGACAGAATCACCTATATATGCACTTAATTGCACAATAACTCACTACAAATATACCTACAAATATAGCTACTAAATAGACAATAAAATAGAACACCAGAATTTAACGAGGTTCGGCTAATTTGCCTACGTCCTCGGACACTACCGACAATTTAATATTTCACTAGAAGAAATATTACAAAGAGAGAGAAGAAAGCAAGTTATTGGCTCTTGCTTGGTGTACTTGAATTGGTTTGTTTGAGAGCTATTTATAGTTCTCAAACAACCTCTCAAATGTTAAACTTAACCGATGTGGGATTTAGAAACTTAGGCCAAAGAATTCAAAGTCCTCAATTTTGGCTTGAAAAAGTCATCAATTGAGGCTTGGCTTTGAATTCAACAGTGTGGGATCATGATCAAGGATTGTGGAATGATTATTTCAACACTTTGATGGGACTCAACGAAACCAAAGGAAGCTGGTGTCTTCTCACTACTCGGTCGAAACCAGTGGCTGATGTTGTATCTACACATTTGAAGATGAATAGCGGTCCTTATTTCTTAGGAAAGCTATCACGTGATGAGTGCTGGTCCATCATAAAAGGAAAGGTGATGAGTGCAGGGGAAGAAGTACCAGAAGAATTGGAAGCATTGAAGAAGCAAATTTTAGGGAGATGCGATGGCCTACCCTTGGCAGCAAGTTTGATTGGTGGCTTGTTGCTTAACAACAGAAGAGAGAAGTGGCACTCCATTGTGCAAGAGAGTCTTTTGAATGAATGTCAAAGCGAGATTGAGCAAATACTTAAGGTGAGCTTTGATCATTTGTCACCTGCATCAGTTAAAATATGTTTTGCATATTGTTCAATTTTCCCCCAGGATACAGAATTGGAACAAGATCTATTGATTGAGCTTTGGATGGCGGAAGGTTTTGTTCAACCATATCGCCAAAACCAAAGGCTGATGGAGGAAATAGGGGGTGATTATTTTATGATTTTGTTACAAAATTCCTTATTGGAAAAAGTAGAAGAATCGTGGCGGGGAACATATTATTATAAAATGCACGATCTCGTGCATGATTTTGCAAAATCAATTCTCAATCCAGAAAGCAGCAATCAGAATCGCTACCTTGCATTGGGCTCTTTTGAAGGTTTGGCAGAAAATACCACAAGGACAATACCAGCATCAATTCGCACATTATTTCTCCATCTAGAGGGTGGCGTATCTACTGACATGCTTTTAAGATTCAAGTGCTTGCATGTTCTCAGATTGTCTGGCGATGATGTCGAGTCTCTACCGAGCTCCATTGGCAAACTACTACATTTGCGGTTGCTCGACATTTCATCTTCTGGAATCAGAAGTTTGCCAGAATCTCTTTGCAAGCTATATAATTTGCAGACACTAACGATTAATGATTATGCACTTGAAGGAAGTTTTCCAAAACGGATGAGCGATTTGATTAGCTTGCGACATCTAAACTACAATCATTATAATGTAGAATTAAAAATGCCGGTGCAGATGGGACTATTGACTTGTCTTCAAACTCTGAAGTTTTTTAATGTAAGTCAAAAAAGGGGATGTGGTATCGAAGAGCTTGGGACCTTGAAATATCTGAAAGGATCGTTGAGTATAAGAAATCTTGGACTAGTGAAGGGCAAAGAAGCAGCTAAACAAGCAAAATTGTTCGAAAAGCCAGATCTGTCCGACTTGGTGTTTAAATGGGAGAGTGGGGATCGGGAAAGCGATAATCGTGAGGAGGATGTGTTGGAAGGTCTCCAACCTCACCCAAATTTGCAAGGGTTGGAAATTCATTCTTTTATGGGTAATAAATTTCCACAATGGCTTATCAATTTGTCAAAATTGGAGACATTGCGGATAGAAGACTGCGAGAGATGCAGTGAACTCCCCTCATTAGGACAACTACCATCCCTCAAACGTCTCTCTTTGATAAGATTGGACAACATTCGATTTATTGGAGATGAATTCTACGGTATTACTGCTAATGGGGAGGAGGAGGAGGAGGGCAGATCACGAGCATCAGGAAGCAGCGCTAGAAGGCGAAAATTCTTTCCTGCCCTTGAACAACTCTATGTACGAGATATGAGGAATTTGGTAGACTGGAAAGGTGCAGACCAAGTGAGGTCAACAGTAGGTGAAGCAGAAGCAGATGTCTTTCCCCTGCTGAGGAATTTTTACATTCAAGATTGCCCACAACTGACCACTCTTCCATGCTCGTCTAAAAGTCTACACGTGGAGAATTGCAATAATCTAACAAGTATAAAAACGGGTTACGGCACTGCTTCTGTTGAGGATTTGAAGATCGACTCTTGCGACAATCTTAGGGAGCTGCCAGATCTGGATCTGTTTGGATCGAGTTTGCAGCGATTGACCATCTCATTTTGCCCAAGATTAATTAGTCTAGGAGTAAATGGACAGAAATGCCCCCTACCATGCCTTGAGCGATTGATTATTTGGAATTGCAATGGGTTGACCACTATATCCGACAAAATGTTCGAGTCATGCCCGTCTCTGATGTGCCTGTGGGTGGAGGGGTGCCCCAATCTGGTGTCGTTTTCGCTTAATTTGCAGGAGACGCCTTCTCTCGAGGAATTCACCCTAGCCAACTGTCCCAAATTGATCCCTCATAGTTTCAAAGGATTTGCTTTTGCCACCAGCTTAAGAGAATTGAGCATCAACAGTCCCTTCTCCTCAGATGACTCCTCAGTCGATGATTTTGATTGGTCTGGTTTAAGATCAGCATCAACACTCCGTGAGCTTCGATTAGAAGGGTTACCTCACACGGAGTCCCTGCCACACCAGCTTCAATACTTGACTACCCTCACTTCACTAAGTCTTCAGTACTTTGGAGGAATAAGAGTGCTACCGGATTGGATTGGAAACCTTGTGTCCCTTGAAACCCTATGGCTATGGAATTGCGAAAAGCTTCAGTCTTTACCATCCGAGGCCGCCATGAGACGACTCACAAAGTTAACAAGTGTTGAAGTTCATTTTTGTCCTCTACTAAGACAACGATACACTTCCCAAAGAGGCATCTACTACTTGGAGGAGGAGATTTCAAGTGATCCAGTAAGATTTTTCTATCTAAAGTTCACACACATACATATATGTATATAAGTTTTTTTGTTTCTGAATCTCATTGACATATATTTGCTCTTTACTCTCTTATTCTCTTCTACAAAATTTCACTAGTTCCATATAGTCATCCTCTGTAATTCTCTTCTATTGGGCAGACATTGGTTTCTCTTCAAAGATTAGTTTTAACAAAGCCTGGTTTTGAACAAATTGGAAGAAACCAAAATTCTGGATTTCGTCTGCCTCTCTGAACCACTAAAAGATTTTGTACATCTTAAAAACTCCTTACACTTCAACTTTTTAAATTCTATTTGGCCAAGGACGAAATTATTAGCGACGGTGCATACACAATTAGCCTCTTTGTTTGAATGTGTTGGAAAATGCTTCATTTGATGTGCAATGCTAGATGTACATGGATGCATTCTTCATTTTTCTATCACTGATATTGCTAGTCTGAACGGACAACATTAAAGCTAATCAAGAAACATTTGCAAAGAAAATTCAAGATACAATTTGCTGTTCAAGTTGCAATAATTTTGGATAGTTGTTTGTCATGTTTCACAAGTTTCAGAAGTTTATACATCACAATTACCATGCAGACAAGCAGTGAGAGCGAAGAAGATGAATCGACAACAATGAACTAGCAGGCAGAGAGGGTGAACAAAAAAGCATTCATGGTGCTCAAACATCAGCTTCATGGTGTTTCCCATCGTTGTTGAAGAAGAAGAAGAGGTCAGGAGGTATGTTGTGCAGAAAAGTGATAATGCAGCATTTCTCTCCCCAAGAACTCTTTTCTTACCTCCATCCAATTTACTAAAAGTACAAGGAATTGGTGCAGGTTTGCATTCTAGTGTGCTTGAGTCATGTAATTGGCCTAAAAACAGGGCATTTTCCTGTACTTTTATCTGTTTGTGAACTTTTACCTATGCCTACAGCTTATCTTTTGCTCTTTAAGTTTTGTATATTTGCTTGGTGCTAAACTTGTCTTTTGATTGTGAAAGAATGTGGTCTTTTCCGATTTCTTGCACTACTTACTAGACCATAACTTTTCTTTGCTTTCATTGTTCATTATAATTGGAGGCATACTGAAATGTACCATTGTGATGCTTTCCAGAGTCTTAGGAGACATAGCTTATGTTATTGGACAAAGGACGCCATCGTTTACACACCAATTGTCACACGATATTGCATAATAGGAGAAACTTCTTGAATTCTGGTAGGCTTAATTGGTTTAAGTAGGATGATGTTTCTGTTATGTTTGTACTGACCCCTTCTATTTAGTTTACATAGATCTAATTGGGCTGCTGCTTCTGATATGATCCCAAAAGTACATACCTTTAGTTTTTTAAGCTGCAGTATCGGTTTTTCTCAATGCACTGCCATCACTAGTTTGTTATATTGTTGGTTTCTGGTTGGCAGATGAATTTTTATTGAGTTGAAGTTTCATTTCTTAGCATTTATTAATTCTAATTTGAATTTGCTTTTCATTTAGGCCATGTCCTCGCTTAAAGGTAGGGATAATACATTAGAGAAGATTTGAGGAGGCTATTGATTACGTAAATGAGCAGCATCCTTCAGATGATTCCTCTGTTCCAGCTGTAAGACTGTTTGTTGCCATAAATTCAACTCTCTAGTTCTGGCTTTTATGAATCAAACGAACTGAACTCTAGCATTTTGATTGTTTTGCAGGATCCCGACCTAACCTGAAAAATGCAACAGACACGAAAGAGGCACAAATCCCTCCGGAGCTTATCACTCGATGTGTAGCTACTCTGCTCATGATTCAGCTGCTTTTTGGGTGTACATCTCTAAGATCCTTTATTCCCATCTTGTCTCTTTCTTTGCTTCATAGAGGGCCCACTTGTGATGATGTTTATATTAGAAGTTTGATCACTTGGACGATTCCCTTCCCCTTTTCCTGTTAAAACTACAAGCTGTGCATATTTTGGTTTATATTTTCCTTATGGCTTATTATCAGTTCAAAGTACTGAATCTCAGTTTCAATAAAGTGGATATTTATGGCTATTAAATTGTAGCCATAATGAAGTTACTGACTCAATCTAGCAACTATTCGTATAATGGGATCACTCCCTTGTTTTGCTTTTTTCAATGAATTAAGGAGGAGTTGAAACTAATCTCAAACTTCGTTTAACTGATAATGAAGCTCACCCTTCACTTGCTTGCTGCTGTTAGGTTTGCATCATATTTTTGAAATATTTTCTTTGTCAACTCCATTTATTGGTTAGAAAGTTCTTTCCGCAGTTGTAGGAATGACACGACTAGAATATCAGTTCTCTATTCGAGAATTGAACATCTGTGCGTACAATGTTTTAAATGCTCTTCATTCTACAATTTGTTGTTTTGTTTTCTTGTGATGTACACAGTTCGACCTTTTTGCGAATGTATACTTATTGGCTTAATATTGCAGTCATTTATTGCAAAAATGTACAGAGAGGCAGTTTCCACTAGCTGATGTGGCGCAAATATTGGATTCTGCAATTACAAGCTTGAAGCCTTGCTGCCCACAAAACCTTCCAGTTTATACTGAAATACAGAAGTGCATGGGAATTGTCAGGAACCAAATATTGGCGCTTATACCTACTTAGCCAATAAAACTTGGACGAATTTTTTTTCATATCTGCAATGTAGTAATTGATTTGATTGCCATCTTAGCTTCTAAGGCTACCATGACAAAGTTTTCTGTTTGTACCCACCAACATCAATGCAATGAATTATCACTTCCATTATACTTCGAATAAGGCCATCTATGTTCAAATCCATGATAGATTTGCCTCTTACTTCCTGTTGTTAAGTAGATTACCTAGCCATTAGTTCTCCTATGGTGATAGACACGAACAAGTTGTTGGGCCCTTTCCAATTATCAAAGCTTTTGCGGCTGTTGAATGGATTGTGCAGGATCCTTTTGGAATCACAGTTTTGGAGCAGGCAAAGGGAGTTTTTGCTTCTGCACTTACCTAACCAGAGGTTTATAATTTTCGAATGCACTTGGAAGCCAGAGATTGTTGTCTCGGCCTGAATTTGCACACATTGCTAGCAGCAGTAGATGTTCACTCAATATTCAAAATATTGTGTATTGATCTAAGAGCTTTAGTTGTTTTACGCCTTTTAAACAAGATAGAATTTTTGTTATTGTTGCTCACTGCCTGCTAGGCTACAAAGACCCGGAAAACATGGGATTTCTTGATAATGGAAGTATTTCCCAGTTCAGGAAAAAAGAAAAATGAAAAAGACATTAATTGAAGGGCAAACTATTTTTAGTACAAGGTTGGCATGAAAAAAGTAGAGATTGAAATACCTCTCCTTTTAACCAAGATGAGTTGGCCATTAGGTGAAACATAAGATGCAGGCGACTAGAGGTGAGAAGTTTTAACATTGAAAAAAAAAATGGTCTACTTTTATTTACAAATATGACTAAAGAAAGAGAAAATTTTTGGTTCAATCCCTCACGTTTAGGGAGAGTTTTTTTTTTGGGTCCCTCATTTTTGAAAGGTATAATTACAAAAACACCCCTGAGGTTTGTGACACATCACATGGTATCCCTAAATATTGAAAAATACCACCTACATCCCTTATTTTCAACTTCTTCCAACTTTGTCAACCTATTCCGACAAATATGATTTAAAAACTCATTTTGGAAGAGATAAGACATTTTCATTCCAAAATTACCCTTTCTTGTGGAGCTTTAGCTTTCATAACAAACCAAATTAATTTCTTAATAATGAAATTAAAAGACTTTTTATAGTTTTCGATATCATCTATCTAAACAAAAAAAGGAGAAAAAATTAGAAACTCTAAATGATTTAGAAGACTCATATGAGTCATCCAAAAATTGTTACAGTTAAAAAAAAAGGACTTTTTGCACCTCAAATAAATTTCTAAATATATGGTTAGTAATTTTATCTTTTTCTTGTTTTCAAGCCATCAATTTGGACAAAAGGTTCAAACATTCAAAATATTCTAAACAATTTGTAGAATCCTTAAATTCATCCAAAACACTTTGCAACAAACAAAATAACTTTTCTTTGAAAATGCCTTAACTGAGTTTGTAAACTTAATTTTAGACATTGTGTCCATTTTTTATTTTCAAATCATTGACCTATACACAAAATTTAAAAAATTCCAAAGATTCTTAAAATTAATAAAACTCCTCCAATTAACGAAAACCCTTACAATAAATGAAATATTTTTTCAGCTTGAACAACCTCAAACATAATCTTTTGTACCTTAAAAACATTTGCTAGTATATTTTATCTCACCAAAATTACACCTGCACACTATTTTTTTTTTATTTTCAAGCTTTTAGTACTATAGTTTCACTTTTGAAAAACTAGTTGGACAACACAAGGGCAATTTTGGCATGATAACATCTTCGTTCTCAAAAATGAGTTTAATAATATATTTTGAAATGGACTGATAAAGTAGTTGAAAATAAAGGAGATAGGTGATATTTGTCAAAGTAAAGTGTTCCATGTAACATTGTCATTACCTTATGAGAGGTTTCCGAAAGTACCCCTTTTAAAATGAAGCAAATTAGTTTCTCACCTTCTAAAAATAAAGCAAACTATTCCCAAAATGACAACCTGATATATATATATATATATATATATATATATATATATATATATATGTATATTATAGGAACAAAATTAGACCGTCACTTTAGTTTTTGTGGAATCTAGGTACATGTCATATGCGCATGACATTAGGTTGACATAAAAAGGAAAACAATTTAAAAATTATAACATATAAACAAATCGTTCTCTCTAATTTTTTTTTTTTTTTTGAGAAAATGATATTCGGCCAACATAAAAAGGACAGTGTATATGTGTGTAGAACTTGTATTTACAATATTGAAATTACAGTTAACTTGAGAGTTTTGGTTTTTTTATTTTCTTTTGGAATTGGTTTTTTAATATTATACCTATCGGATTGTAGTTAACTACAGGTTTGTAAAAATATTCACTGTTACTTCAATCTGACGGCACGCCGTATCGGTTACAGCAGCAGCAGCAAGAGCAAGGCGCACACTATCGGCTGCACCGGCCAAAATTTCAAACATTCATTTTTTTTGGCTTCCAAATATGAAAAAGACGTGGAAGGAACGGCAATTTATACAGCGCATTTCTTTGGTTCAAGGATAGAAAAGGAACAGAAGGGCGTTATTGTCAACCATCTCTTCATAATCGAGCATTATACTAAGGCGTTGTGTCTTAGTTTATGTTACAAAAAATCAAACACAGCAATTCATGCAGCGCATTTCTTTGGTGCTAAGGATAGAAAAGGAATAGAAGGGGTTATTGTCAACCACCTCTTCATAATCAGGGCATTATAGTCAAGCAACAAACACACAACCCGTTGCCTGCCCAACTGGTCAAGTATCAGGCCCTTGATTAAGATTTTAACAATCTCCAAATTGACGCAAATACCCACCTACTCATGGTGCCCATAAGGGGCCATGAGCACTATTCACACTCCTGATTCCCCCTTTTTGTTTGCCTTTTATTGATATATATACTAATCATTATCATTACTATATAAAAAATACCATGAATCTTGGTATTTTGGAGTGTAAATTTAAGTATTCTTGTAATCTTCGTTTTTGTTATTTCAATTATGTCCTTGTTAATTGATGATTGAAATTTCATTATACTCTTTTTAATTTATTATGATAATTAGAATTCATTATACCATATCTATTGATTTTAAAAAATAATAGTTGATGATAAGACAAAATGTTAAGCATTAGAGATTAAGCCGAATTTGGTTTAGTTTTCTATTTGTCCAAAATACCATTCTCACTAATAATTATTTAACAATAGGAATAATTGTAGTAGTCAGGGAAAAAAGTCTAACCTTAATTAAGTTTGAATTATGAAGACAATAAATAAAATATAACACTTCAAACCAATGTATCTCTTTACATTCTATTTCAGTTTTTTTTTATTTTATTATAAATTCTTGATTAATCACAGCCTAATTAAAATTTCAAATCGTCGAAAATATTTCTATTGATATCAAAATAAGGTGCTCTTAGGATAGTAGAATCTTTGTCATTTATGCTTTACATTAGATTCTGTCCCAAAAATAAAAACAAAAGAAAACAAAAGAAAAAAATAGAAGAACTCAATTATCTCTTTCAATGAAATTTCAATTCTCAAAAAATGAACAATTAGATGAAAAAAATTTATATGTGGTAAATCATTTGCACTCCATTGTTAACAGAAATAACACACAAAATAATATAAAGAGTTCAAATTAAAAAAATATACATTTTTTGTTTTTCAAACGACAGTGCATGTAACTTCATATTGAGAAATTTCATTAAGATACTAACAAATTCAATTTAATAGCACGAAAAATAATAATGATGGAGTATGCAACCAATATTTATGCAAACAATTATTTTTATTTTATTTTTTTACCCTCCTACCCCTCCTTAACAATTAGCAAACATAACCTTTGGTTTGCATGCAAATTTAGGCCACCCAACTCTAAAAGAAAACAAAAAGTTGTACGTGTATCTAATTAAAAATCAAACAATGTTAGTGACATTATCACAATTTGTTTGTCATGGAAAAAAAAAAAGAAGTATCAATATTATACATACCATTCATAATATTGATATTTTTGTCAAATCATTTCATATTTGATCAAATCTTTATTTTTTAAAATGCTAATTTTTCATCTTCTAATTAATTGTCCTTAAAACTATTATTTTAAATTGAAAGAGATTATAGGTATCCTCATTTATTAAAAATTTTTTAGAGATTTTATATGAATTTATAGATATAACATTTTGCGAATTTTTTTTTTTGCTTTTAAAATGATGGTTTTAAGGATAATTAATCAAAGAAGATAAAAAATTAAATAAAAAAGGAAAAAATGCAGATATTAAATTTTTTAAAATAATTTTCACAAATAAATCTAATGTAATGTACTAATACTAAAAAAATAATATATGTAAGAATAATTATATAGAAAATGTAAACAAAATTACTATCATACTTACATATATACAGTGCAGCAATAAAAGAATAGATAATTTTCCAGCCGTGGTAGTGTAAAGTTACTTGAATTTGGAAAAGAAAATCATAAATAAATGCATTTATTTCTATTTATTATATTTGAATTCAAAATTGATTGGCATGGAAATGAAATAAAAAATTATTATTGTAGTTTTTATCAAATTCATGCTACTGTAATAGAGTGTCTCGTCTAAGGAACATATTACCGTATTTGAATTACCTTAATTACCTAGCGTTTGCTCAATACAAATGTGTTTGTCAAAAACATATTCCCAAAAAATTGTCCCTTGCCTCTGACCACCTGTCTCATCGCCTCCCTATAGGAGAAATTTCTAAAAATATGATGAAATTAAAAAAAATTCTACAAAGGGGGCGTTTTGTGTATGGTTTTCTATCTTGGGGATCTTCGCATTTACTAAATGCGAGCTCCTTGAGCTCGCATTTGCTAAATGCAAAGTTCACATGAATTTTGAGACCAAAGAAATTTAACAAAAAAAAAAAGAAGCGTACCTCGCATTTTGCAAATGCGAGGTCATGTATACCTCGCATTTGCAAAATGCGAGGTTAGTAACCACCAATAGAAGGTCATTTCCTTCATTCTTTTTGACGTTTGATTAACACGTATTTGGACTTCTTAACTTTAGTAAATATATAAAAGTCACTACCACTAAATATGTCACAGTTATGATTTCTTGGCTGTAAAGTTGTGTGAATTTCATTTCACTCGACAACAGTGAGACTAACAATAATCA